GTAAGCATTACAGACAGTTTGGACTCACGGTGGTGCTCTGCTCCTTCATCAGGGAGGAGTATTTGTGAGGAATGTGTCTCTCCACTCGTCCCCTCGGTCCTTTCAGGGCCGTCAGGTTGTCAGCGATGATCCGCATCACTAACGTCTTCATACGCCGTCGCAGCGACTCGTACGTCTAGGAGAAAATTGTTACTTGCTTGAGTGGTTTTCTATTTTTTTTTCATTTTTATAGAGGCCGTTTATCCAATGCACCACCATGTTCCCATAGGCCACTTAAACTGCAAGGATCTCTTTCATATCTTTTCAAGGTTTATTGAAAATAAATCACAGCTTTAAGGCAGATTATTCCATTCATTTGCATCTCGTCCAGACTTGATTATCTTAAAACTAAAACACTGGATCAAGCGACAAAAACACGACTTGTAATGTTGGGCTATAAAGGAACTACAGCACGGTCACATGACTCCAGGTCACCACCGCTAAGCTAAAGGCGTCTAACGTTGGGCTATAAAGGAACTACAGCACGGTCACATGACTTCAGTTCACCACCGCTAAGCTAAAGGTGGCTAACGTTGGGCTATAAAGGAACTACAGCACGGTCACATGACTTCAGTTCACCACCGCTAAGCTAAAGGCGGCTAATGTTGGGCTATAAAGGAACTACAGCACGGTCACATGACTTCACGTCACCACTGCTAAGCTAAAGGTGGCTAATGTTGGGCTATAAAGGAACTACAGCACGGTCACATGACTTCACGTCACCACTGCTAAGCTAAAGGCGGCTAATGTTCCGCACGATGATATTTAAAGGTTTCATTCAGACACTTGTTTCTAAGTGGCTCTTGTCATATTTAGTTGTTGAATGTGTTTGTACCTCTTTGGTTGGGAGGATGCTGTAAGGAGAAACCTCCACTGCTTTTATCGGAGGTCCGTGCAGGTTACGAAAATTAACCCGAGCTTGATGAGCGAAGCGAAACGCCCACGTTACAAAACTGTATCCTCGCTCTGTAGAATCAGACCTGGACACTGACGGCACCTGAAGAAACAGAGATTAGATCTTAATTGTTCTTTAAAAAGATTCAAAACAATTATTACCCGTTATTAAGACGTGTTACCCGGACTTTTCCCCAGCTGAAGGTGTAAGCTGCCGCCTTTTTGGAGTCTTCACTGCAGTACTGAGTCGCTCTGGTCGTCTAAAAATAGAATATATTAATTACAATTTTAGGTATATTGCTCCCATTCACGAACAACTGTGGCATTTTCTAAATAAACTACCATCCCAGGGCTACATTTTAATAAAAAGTATTATTATAGAATTATATAACAGTTTCTTGACGCAGACATTTTGGTCTCATAGGATGTCAAAGAAACGTTTATGGAGTGAGACACTAGGGTTAAATTAAATTGGGAACACACCATATCTAAGACAAAAATGATTATAATAACAACAATTCTACATAAAAAAAATAAACAAAAAGACAAAATAGTAATAATATTTCAGCATTTTCTGATATGCAGATCTTATAAATTGCTCCATATTATCCCATTCTCCGTTAACACCAACGTATATCAACAAAACTGAACTCAAATGAACTCGTATCAAACTCAAACCACGTTACCAACACATGAATCCCGACTGAAAATCCCCCCCCCCGCACTCCTCACCTGGATTTCGTCTCTCCACCGCTTCACCGTTCGCTCGTGCTCCTCGGCGAGTTTCCGGACGTGGATCCTGGCGGTGGTTTTGGACATCGAGAGGCCGAGGCTGTTGGTGACGGAGAAGATTGTGACGGGGCAGCGGTGACGCAGCATCTCCACGCTGAAGGCCGTCTGCAGAAAGCAGGACCTGAGGGAGTTGGTGTAGAGAGACACTGACAGGAGGAGGCAGATCCTGCGCTCCAACATCTGCTTCACCTCCTCCTCCGTCATCCGCCTGCAAGAAGAGCAATCATCATACACTGTCAATCAATCAATGTTTATTTATATAGCCCAATATCACATTTGTCATAGTGGACTTCACAGTTTGTACAGAATATCAATACAACACCCTCTTTCCTTATACCCTCACAACGTACAAGGAAAAACTTTAACCCACAGTTAATGGGGAACAATGGAAGAAACCTCGAGGAGCGGTTACACTGGTGTTGCAAATATCATGTATAAAAGTCATAGTAAAGCAGCGGTGTCGGACTCAGAGCCCGGCTTCATTTAATGTGGCCCGCAAGAGCTTGCAAAGAATACGGTTACATGCTGCTTTACAGAAGCACATTGTCCATAAACTACATGTCCCACAATGCATCTCATTTCCTGACATGCGCACTGCAGAGACTTGCAATTATTTGCCCTAGACTTCTGCTTTCAGACGTAGTTAATTATGAAGTCATTACCCTATCCGATAATAATCCAATGCAGAGGCAATAATGTAATAAAATATATTATTTTATATATATGATATAGTCTTACATTTACATCCAGCCCTTTGAGTGCAACCATAATGCTAATCTGGCCCGCGATGAAATTGAGTTTGACACCCCTGTACGTAAAGTATGTCCATAATATCCTCAAAAAGTTACAGTTTAGACCCACCGTGGTTTGTTCCCAGGACTGTAGTTGACGGTCAGTTTCTGGATCTTTTTGGCGGGGGGGAACATGGACCGGAGGCAGGCTACAGTCAGAGGAGCCTTACCCTCGGCCCAGGAAGTAGTCTGATCCCAGCTGAAGGCAGACAGGTTCTCAGGGCTGAAGGGCTTCCTGAACGGCCCCTCCAGGTCGTTCACCATCTGTTTACGCTTAAATAAAATACATTTAAAATAGACTATAAAAAACGTTCAAACCTATAAAAACAGGTGTCTCCTCTGTGTCCGGTGTAGTACTACTATTCTGCATAGATTTGGGTCATTGGGTCTCATGAAATGGAACTTGAAATTATAGTTTTTTTAAAGAAATCGCTGAATTTTCACAAAACTAATCATATTAAAAGAGAAAAAAAAGGTAAAACCATAAAATAAGTCACATTTCGAGTACTTTTTTTCATAAATCAGATTCATTTGAGTTTTTTTTCAGAATTCTGAGAACGGTGATTTCTTGATGGTGAAACCCTGTTGTTTAGAGCAACGTAAGAACCTCATGTTCACAGTCCCTGTAACCTGTAATAAATACATTATATAATCTGGCCTCACCTCGTTAGAGATGATTTTCCCGCACACTTTGATGAGAGCCTCTCTGAAGCCGGTTTCCTGCAGCAGGCGGTTCAGAGCAGAGCTGAAGTTCCTCTTCCTCAGGAACCCACTCACCTGAGCACAGGTGGAACAAGATTTAGATCCTTCACTTCAGTAAAAGTACTCATACCAAACATACTCAATATCAAGTGAAAGTACTGCATCGAGAATGGTACTTAAGTAGAAGTATTTCATTACACCTAGGAAAATGTACTTTAGGTATAAGGAGTAAAAGTACTAATTGCAGGGGGAAACTAAGAAGAATATTTCAATATTTTTAAAGAAATCTTCTCATTTAAGAAGCTGTAGAATATATTTTAACAAAACATTTCTTAGCAAAATTGCAGCCAAATTACTTTTCTGCTAACCCACTCATTATTTTAGTTACTTAGATATAATGTTGGATTCTACCTAATAATCATATTTGTTAAGTTCTTCCTAATTATTGTTTGTCAAAATAGAAATGTATAAAAGTAAAAACATCTGTTATAACACAATACAGTAGAGTATAAAGTACAACATTGGCTCCCAAAAAATAGTAAAGTAGAAGTATTCGTGTTATAAAATGAAAATACTGGGGTAAAGCCATAGACTGGGTAAAGCACAAGTACCTTAAATGTGAGGCTACAGTAATTTCAAACATATTAAATGACAGAATTTTGCTCATTTTAATTTACTGACTGTATGTAGGCTACTGCTGCTGGATATTAGCACCTATAATTACATGTAATCTTAATTATTAATTATTTGTAACCAGTGTACCTGGGACACCGGCCCTCGGCTGAGGCGTCTGGCCGGCGGAGGTCTGCGGGATCCGGGCTCCTGGTCCTGGGTCGCATAGTCGTGCTCGTTCATCTGAGTTTTGAGTCTTTTCTTGAGCTTCTTCAGAGGCGGCGGTTCCCCCGGAATAGAGGAGGCAGGCCGGGTAGAAGGAGCCGCACAAGAGGGGGGGTTTGGGTCCACAAAAACACGCCTTTTACCGTTTTTCTTAGTTTTCTGGTACACCTGACGGACACAAGAGAAACATAGGAACGCATCACGGGGGTTTAAACCCGGGAAGAGTTTCTCTGCGCTCTTTATATCGATTAATGTCAATAAAGACTTCCTTTTATACCCTTTGGCTTGTCTCTCTATGGGACTTTCGCAGTGACTGCACCGGTACTCCATGCTAGCTATCGTTACTTTACACGGTACTTTAACGTTTAACGACCACTACCTTTATCTAAGAGCAAAATTAGACAACACAAACCCGCCGGATTGAAATGGAAACGTATAAGTGACAGTTCAGGCGGATTTTGGTGGAAGTATAGTTGTTGTCAAGTTATCAAACTAAACTTATTCAGGTGAAGTAAAGTTTGTGTAGAATCGAAGATGGCGCCGGCTCTACGCAGTGAGCTCAGTGCTGCCGCCGGCGGCCTGGAGGAGAACTACAACAATAGAGATTTCCTTTTTTTTAAAGTCATACTTTTTATACGTTTTAAATTATTACATTTGTTCTGTGTTCAAGTATTTATGTGTACATTTTGAAAAACTATTTTTGCTTAGTTTGTCTATCTATTACACCATGTTTTTTTACGCAGATGGTGGCCTGCGTTGTTAAAACTGAGCTCATGTAATCCAACTACTATTTTATTGTTTAATGTGACTCCAGTCATACCTGTAGTTTTATACAGATGATAATGTTTCAAAGTAATACATAGATGTTGGTGCATCACTGTTTATCAAGAATCATCATCACAAATTATTCCTTCAACTTCTCATGATACATATTTTATCTTTTAGGAAAGTTACCAGATGCAGTGAATTTCTGGCTTGGAGAAGCGAGCGCCGTAACATCCAGTAAGACCTGAACACAACACCCCACTTTAGGTATAGCGTAACATATACATAAATATAAAAAAAATATATATAAATGTCTGTATTTTGTATTCTCTTTTCAGTGCACAAAGATCACTATGAGAATCTGTACTGTGTGATTTCTGGAGAGAAAAACTTCATCTTGCTGCCGCCCACAGACCGACCCTTCATCCCCTATGGTAACCATAGTAACCCCCTCCAAGTATAGTAACCATTGTGTACAACCTACAGTAACCATAGTAACTGTGGTCTCTATCAGGGATGTACCAGCCGGCTGTTTACCATCAGCGAGACGACGGGGAGTTTGAGGTCGTCGACCAAAGCGACTCTGAGAAGGTGCGTTCAGGTGTCTGTAAATATCACGACTTTCTGTACTTCTTGCCCTATTTTTTTATTTGTATTTTTGAATTCTATTATATATGTTGCATTGTTGGAGGAGCTCGGGTCAGAAGAACGTGGGTTTAAACCCGGGAGGAGTTTCTCTGCGCTCTTTAAATCGATTAATGTCAATAAAGACTTCCTTTTATACTCTTTGGCTCTTTTGCAGTGACTGCACCGGAGCTCCATGCTAGCTATCGTTACTTTACACGGTACTTTAACGTTTAACGAACCCTATCTTTGTCTACAAGCAAAGTGAGAGAAGACAAACACACCGGGTTGAAGTGGAAACGTATAATATATATATTTTAAATCTTTAGGAGATTTTTTATTTTAGAATATGTCAAAAATAACTATATCATATATTTTGAAAGGACTTAAAAAGCGTTTTTCAACAGTAAAGATTTGTATATATATTATTTAATTGGGACTGACAGTTCAGGCAGGTTTTGGTGGAAGTATAGTTGTTGTAAAGTCAATAAACTTAACTTACTCTCAGGTCCCGTGGATCCCTCTGGACCCTCTGGACCCGGACCTGGACCGGTTCCCTCAGTACCGCCACGCTCAGCCGGTCCACTGCAGCGTGAAGGCGGGAGAGATGCTGTTCCTGCCGTCCCTCTGGTTCCACCATGTTCAACAGTCCCACGGCTGCATCGCAGGTACGCACTGACCCTGAACGCACCACAGGACTCTATAGCAGACCTGCATTCTTTCTATTAAGGTTCAAGGTTAGTTTATTTGTATAGTCACCTATTATGCAAAGTCCACTTCTTCATGTCTCTTCTACATCAACATGTGTCCCCTCTTCTTCATGTCTCTTCTACATCAACATGTATCCCCTCTTCTTCATGTCTCTTCTACATCAACATGTGTCCCCTCTTCTTCATGTCTCTTCTACTTCAACATGTGTCCCCTCTTCTTCATGTCTCTTCTACATCAATATGTGTCCCCCTCTTCTTCTTCATGTCTCTCTACATCAAACATGTGTCCCCTCTTCTTCACGTCTCTTCTACATCAACATGTGTCCCCTCTTCTTCACGTCTCTTCTACATCAACATGTGTCCCCTCTTCTTCACGTCTCTTCTACATCAACATGTGTCCCCTCTTCTTCACGTCTCTTCTACATCAACATGTGTCCCCTCTTCTTCATGTCTCTTCTACATCAACATGTGTCCCCTCTTCTTCATGTCTCTTCTACATCAACATGTGTCCCCTCTTCTTCATGTCTCTTCTACATCAACATGTGTCCCCTCTTCTTCATGTCTCTTCTACATCAACATGTGTCCCCTCTTCTTCATGTCTCTTCTACTTCAACATGTGTCCCCCTCTTCTTCATGTCTCTTCTACATTCAACATGGGTCCCCCTCTTCTTCATGTCCCTTCTACATCAACATGTGTCCCCTCTTCTTCATGTCTCTTCTCACATCAACATGTGTCCCCTCTTCTTCATGTCTCTTCTACATCAACATGTGGTCCCCTCTTCTTCAGCTCTCTACATCATGTGATCCCCTCTCTTAGTCTCTCTACATCAACATGGGTCCCCTCTTCTTCATGTCTCCTCTACATCAACATGTGTCCCCTCTTCTTCATGTCTCTTCTACATCAACATGTGTCCCCTCTTCTTCATGTCTCTTCTACATCAACATGTGTCCCCTCTTCTTCATGTCTCTTCTACATCAACATGGGTCCCCTCTTCTTCATGTCTCCTCTACATCAACATGTGTCCCCTCTTCTTCACGTCTCTTCTACATCAACATGTGTCCCCTCTTCTTCACGTCTCTTCTACATCAACATGTGTCCCCTCTTCTTCATGTCTCTTCTACATCAAACATGTGTCCCCTCTTCTTCATGTCTCTTCTACAATCAACATGTGTCCCCTCTTCTTCATGTCTCTTCTACATCAACATGTGTCCCCATCTTCTTCATGTCTCTTCTACATCAACATGTGTCCCCTCTTCTTCATGTCTCTTCTACATCAACATGTGTCCCCCTCTTCTTCATGTCTCTTCTACTTCAACATGTGTCCCCTCTTCTTCATGTCTCTTCTACATCAACATGGGTCCCCTCTTCTTCATGTCTCCTCTACTTCAACATGTGTCCCCTCTTCTTCATGTCTCTTCTTCATCAACATGTGTCCCCTCTTCTTCACGTCTCTTCTTCATCAACATGTGTCCCCTCTTCTTCACGTCTCTTCTACATCAACATGTGTCCCCTCTTCTTCACGTCTCTTCTACATCAACATGTGTCCCCTCTTCTTCATGTCTCTTCTACATCAACATGTGTCCCCTCTTCTTCACGTCTCTTCTACATCAACATGTGCCCCTCTTCTTCATGTCTCCTCTACTTCAACATGTGTCCCCTCTTCTTCATGTCTCTTCTTCATCAACATGTGTCCCCTCGTCTTCACGTCTCTCTTCATAACATGTGTCCCCCTTCTTCAGTCACTCTTCTACATCAACATGTGTCCCCTCTTCTTCACGTCTCTTCTACATCAACATGTGTCCCCTCTTCTTCATGTCTCTTCTACATCAACATGTGTCCCCTCTTCTTCACGTCTCTTCTTCATCAACATGTGTCCCCTCTTCTTCACGTCTCTTCTACATCAACATGTGTCCCCTCTTCTTCACGTCTCTTCTACATCAACATGTGTCCCCTCTTCTTCATGTCTCTTCTACATCAACATGTGTCCCCTCTTCTCCATGTCTCTTCTACATCAACATGTGTCCCCCTCTTCTCATGTCTCTTCTACATCAACATGTGTCCCCGTCTTCTCCATGTCTCTTCTACATCAACATGTGTCCCCTCTTCTTCATGTCTCTTCTACATCAACATGTGTCCCCTCTTCTTCATGTCTCTTCTACATCAACATGGGTCCCCTCTTCTTCATGTCTCTTCTACATCAACATGTGTCCCCTCTTCTTCATGTCTTTTCTACATCAACATGTGTCCCCTCTTCTTCATGTCTCTTCTACATCAACATGTGTCCCCTCTTCTTCATGTCTCTTCTACAATCAACATGTGTCCCCTCTTCTTCATGTCTCTTCTACATCAACATGTGTCCCCTCTTCTTCATGTCTTTTCTACATCAACATGTGTCCCCTCTTCTTCATGTCTCTTCTACATCAACATGTGTCCCCTCTTCTTCATGTCTCTTCTTCATCAACATGTGTCCCCTCTGTGGAAAGAGACTCTGAAAGTTTCAGGAACAAAGATTCTCTCTCTTTTTGATCCATTTCTATAAAAACCTGTCTGAAAATGAGCTGATCAGATTTTGGCCACTTTATGATGTCATAACGATGTGTTGTCTTGTGTAACCATTAGCCAATCAGCAGCCAAGGTAACCCCCCACCCCCCCCCCCCCCCCCCTTATCACCTGAATCTCCTCCTAGAGCACCATTGAGTTCTTTGTAACCAAATCTCTCTCAGAGGGGCGTGGGGAGGGGCTCCTTATTTTCATCTGAAGTAACAGACAGAGAATCAGCACTTTTGAAACAGGGCTGAAACAGAGGGGATTATGGGTAATGCTGCAATTATCTGTTTGGTGTTTCAGCCAATCAGAGACAGGCTCTGTATATATCTGAGACCTGTGATATATTGATGAAATACAGTATAATAGGAAACCTTTAAAGTTGTATCGTATCGTAAGACACAGAGGCAATTCAAAGTGCTTCACATAGGCATTTAACACATAATCATTTTCAAAAACAAAACAAACAATTCATCAAAGCGATAAAATAATGTATAATTAGTCAACAGGAGGTGACTGAACTTCAATATATCGATTAAACTTTATTTATACGGCCTGATATCATACATTTTTCTTCAGTGTGTTCAGCATACGACTCCCTCTGTTCTTCGACCCTCGCAGTAACAAGGAAAAACTCACAAAGAAAACCCAACAATTAACGGTGAAAACATTATTAATCAGGTATATTATTTGTTTGTTTCCTCATCTGCAGTGAACTTCTGGTACGACATGGAGTACGACATCAAGTACAATTACTTCCAGCTGCTGGAGACGCTGTCGGGGTCAACGTGACGTCACTGCAGCTGCACGATGAAGCACTGAAATAATGACCTGAAACAACTGTAAAATAATGTTCTGTTTAAAACTATGCAGAGGTTTTTTGGAGATTTAAAAATGTGAATGATATTAAAACTCAAAACATCAACTTCTTTGTTATTGTGGTATGTTCAAAAAAGTATTGACTAAATGTCCATAAATCCACTGAGAAATCATAAAAAAAGACTGCATATCTTTTTGGAAATTCTTCATGTTTTAACGTTTCAAATAGTACTTTTTATCTGGTTTAAAGCCAACATTTTTAAACTCCACCATTATTCAAACTTAGCAACATAAAAATGACATACTGTGCGTTTAATGGAAAAGGTTTGACATAATGTAAACAAATAGGGTCACAAGTCTAACTCTCTGAATCCATGGAAGCATTATACTTCATGTTGGTTTTCCCCCAAATGCATCTTGGGAACTGTAGTTCTAAACTTAGAGCATGATTATCCACCTTATTGAAGTAAGAAATAAGTGAAATTCAGTAGTTTGATTATTTTTCTTTGGGAAGATAGAAATAGTTGTTTATTTAAAGGGGACCTATCATGCAAAATGCACTTGTGATGTCTTTTCTACATCAACATGTGTCCCCGGTGTGTCGGGGAACTCACGCAGCGTCAGAAGATAAAACCCCCTCTCTTTTCCTCCGTACCCAAATCTCTAAAAACGGGGAACAACGGAGCTGATCCAGATTTGCGTCCGATATGACGTAATATCTGAAATGTGGACCCACGGCCCAATCAGAAACGTTGCTATCAGAAACAAATGCCCGACTGTTTTGGGACGTAATATGGTCGGTGTTTACATTAGCATCGCTAACACTCAGAGCTAACCTGTACTGGAGAGCATGTGTGTGAAGAAGCAGGAAGTAAAAAGGAACTCACCTTGTGGTATAAACCGGCAAGAGAGAAAGCCTTTGAGCTCCAAACTGTTTCAGAGAGAATCCTTGATAATCCATGATATGGCGTTTCATCACGGCAGCATTTAGTTTAGACAGTAGCTCCTTATTTTAAAGCTTTATCCCCGAATCAGCACTTTAGAAACAGGAAGTGAAATAGAGGGAGATGAGGCATGGCTAGAATGGGTGATCTGTTTGGTATTTTGAGCAAAACACTTCATAGACATGTTTTTTATATATTTGTAATATATATCTGAGACCTATGCTATTGCCTACAAATAGCATGATAGGTGACCTTTAAAAAGCCTTTACACAAGGAAGACTATTCTCCTAATGGGGGGGGGTGCGCTGAAATAAAAACACGAGTCAAGATTTGAACCCAAACAAAGACCAATGAGAAAGCACTTTATTAAAGCAAAACATCTTTAACAAAAACAGCCAGCAGACAGAAAACCAACATATCTTAAAAAAAACAAAAATCTCTGAAGGTCAAAGGCCGTTTGTTTTCTTTCTCCCCCGATATTCTTTTTTGTATATATATATATATATACACATTTTTATATATATATATATATAATCTCTACAGTCTCTAGTATTGCAGCGTCTCCGAGACTCAAGGCCACGTTTCCTCTTTTCCCTTCGACAAAATAATAATAACAAGAACAACAACAACAACGTCCGTCCTGTTAAAGATGATTATCCCTCAGCCGCTGATTGGCGTTCACGAACAGACGTAATAAACTCTTTAGGATTTATGTACAAATGTAAACACAAGCAAGGTGCAGATAAATCTGTAGATTCCTCTTCGCTCCAAACGTGGCGCCCGCTGAAGCTCCGCCCCCTCACAGATGATGAATGCGTTTTTACTCATTTACACGTTAAATAATGTCCGAAAATACTCCTCAAAATCACTTTAATTTAAAAATGATGTCTTCAAATGTCTTGATTTGTCCAAAGATGTGAAATGAATGATGATTTCAAACTGAGAAGAATCCTTTTAATGGAAAAACTGTTTTGATAATCGCATAATCGTCAAATTGAAAAACTGATTTCATTGCTTTTTTGATTGATATCATATTAAACTGAGTATCTTTGGTTTTGAACCTGACAAAACAAGACATATTCTGACATCACTTACACTTTGGAAAATTGAGGATGGATATTTAATGTGACTTTTTTAGATGAAACGAAACATAGCAATTCATATTCAATCAAAAATAATGAACTACAGCAGCAGTTTGCATGTATGGGTTCATCTGGACATCCCCACCTCAGAACAGGACTTAATGATGATTTGATATTAACCCTAAGTGATATGATATTGATATGAACTCATGATGATACTGTTGGAGTCTTATTGACATGAGGAAAATATAGGGACGATGATTTTAGTATTAATCAGAAACGAGTTTTAGTTGAACTTGCTCTAAGTATCAGCTGATCTTCAGGTTTTAATCTCAGCAGCAGTGAAGGAGAAGAAGTCCTGAACGAGACCCCTCCTCACTTTAACGAGATAAACAATTAGATCTAGCCTTAATGGATGCTGTGAGGAGGCGGAGGAGCAGCAGGCGGCGCCGCTCTGACCGCAACTCAGGTCGACGTTACCTCCAAACTCATGAAGGTTAAAGTTTGCTTACCTTTTAAAATAGTTCTTATTTATTTATTTTTAAACACTTCAATTGTTGCACACAGACGTGTCCAAAGGGATATTTTTTTGAAGGAGAAGTCTGACCTGCTGTTGCATCATGGGAGCTGGAGTTCATGTCAGCATCAGTGACCTGTTTCTCACACACACACACACAACACACACACACACACACTCAGTCTCTGTCGTCATGGTGACGGCGGCTCCTGTAGATCGGCACGTTGATGCTGTGGAACGCCGGGACCCAGCGGTTGTCATGGAGACCCACGTTGCAGCCCAGCATGTCCCTGCGGGCGCCATGGCAACACATCCAGTACCCGGGCCCGTAAGGCAGCGCCTGGCAGTACGGCTTGTGATGCCAGCGGCACAGCGACACGTCGCCGCGCACATACCGTCTCTTGCACTGCTTGCAGGGGTCGTCACGGTAACGAGGGTCCGAAACCCAGAGCGAGTCGGCGGGCCGGACGCCGTAGTCCTCGATGATGAACCTGAAGTAGTTGCAGGAGCACTTGAGCGCGGTGAGGCTCTGCGTGGGCAGCAGACTGAAGATCTTCAGCAGGATGTGGTGCGGCAGAACGGCCAGAAAGGGCTGCGGCTCCAACAGCTGCTGCAGCCGCTGACGCATCAACAGGAAGTCCTGCGACGCAGAGGGGCGCCGCACCAGAGGAACCACGGCAACAGGCTCCTCCTCCTGATGCCTGTCAGCCTTCCTCCTCCTCCTCCTCTTCTCTGATTGGCTGCCAGAGTCACAGGGAGCAGGAGGGGGGCTGAGCTCCAGGTCAAAAGACATTCTGTGGCGGCGAGGGGGTGGCGGGGCTCTGAGGAAAGAGGGGGGGGCGGGACAAAAACAACAAACCGGGCTGAGGCTCCGCCCCCTCGGTGAGTGAGAGGGGAAGGGCTTCTGTCTGAGTGACAGTGACAGGTGTCAGTGTTTCTTCTACCACCATCCACCTCACCTGAGGGGGGCGGAGCTGCTGGTGTTTCTGGGCAGCTGATTGGCTCGCTGTCATCACTCTGAGCTCCCAGCAGTGATGATGATGATGATGTCATCGCTGATGGAGATGACGGGCAGGGGCTCTGATCTGAGGCGGGGCTCTGATCTGAGGCAGCGAGCAGCACTCTTCCCACCGCCCTCCTCAGGCTGTTGCTCCTCGACAGATCGCCCTCCGTCCTTCTCTTCAGACACTCTGACTCCAGCTTGGCCACCATGTCCGACACCCTGACGCTCTCTGGCTCCTCCCCCCTGACCTCTGACCCCTCGGGAGGCAGAGCTCTTGACAGCGTGATGGAGGCGGAGCTCCTCTGGAGGGTCAGCAGAGGTTTGGAGTCGGGCTGCTGCTCGCTGGCTAACTGCTCCAGGAACGCCACCATCTCCACGACCGACACCTTCTGTTCCTCGTCCTCCGGCGGCGCCTCGTTTGCACACGGCCCGCCGCCTGAATGCAGCGTTGACACCGCTCTCAGTGGAGATGGACTGAGGACGTGTTGCTGTGTCTCCTGGTCTCCGGGCTTTGCGTCCTGCTGGAGGTTCTGGTTGTTCCCCGACCTGCGGCGCCTCTTAGCGTTACAGTTCTCCTCCCAGCTCCCCTTCGCCTTCACCCCTCGCAACATTCCCGACATCACCGCTGTGTTCGTGCAGACTTCAGGCGTCCGCTCCTGGTTTTCTGTGCCGCCGGTTGAGGTGCGTTCACTGCCTTCAGCGCCGTCCGTTTGCTCTTCGTCTGAAGCGAAGATGGCGATCTTTTCCCGGACGTGTCCAGGCTTGATGACGGTCCAGATGTCCAGCGGGGCGTCTGCTTCCTCCGTCGTGGTTTGGTAGAATCTGATCCCGTTGTTCTCGCATCCCGCCACGTTGCTGCTGATGTTGTTGTTGTTGGTGGCGTTGCTGCAGTGCATGGTGTTGGTGGAGATGACGCTGAACGGGAGGCGGCTGATGTTGTTGGCATTGTTGCGACTGCAGGTCCTCATCAGCGCCCCCTGCTGGTTCACAAACAGGCTGCTCCGCTGCGACGCATCCAAACGCAACTCTGAGCGCATGAGCTTCGGATACGACTTCAGGTGCATGATGGTCCTGAAAGACAAGCAGGGAGAGGGCATCAGATGTGTAGATAAAATAACAATAAAACATATGATTTGTGAAAGACATTCAAACAAGACTTTACTGTCAACACCTAAATCGAACAAAACATGAAGTGAACAAACTGCACCCATTAAAAATAAACCACTTGAATCCAAACAACTGAAGATATTTAAAAGTTATTACAATAATCATTGAAGTATCTCCTGACAAACAGACACTCAGAGAAGAAGATAAACAAAGACAGCTCGGACCTTTCAAGGACACATTTCTCTCTGCGGCTGAAAACAAACACACCTCTTAAAATCATGTGATCACACTTATCCCTCCGTCTCGCTCCTTCATTATCGAGAGAGGACGCCTTATAAGCACAGGTTATTCAGATAGACACTAACTGACAGCTTTTATGTGCAGCTCCACTTGCTTGGAACAATCTTCAGCAAGAATTGAAACTGAGCAATCTCATTCCTCTGCATGTTTTTAAAGCTAGGCTAAATGAAATGCTTGTTGATACTATGGCCACTTGTAAATGTCTATAACTATGTAAATGTATCCTGTAAATATAATGTATGATGTCCTTTATTGTTTTATGTTTCATGTGGAACCTATATGCTGCGGGTCTCCCTTGAAAAAGAGATCTATGATCTCAATGGGACCAATCTGGTTAAATAAAGGTTTGAAATGAGTGTCTGCGCTTCTTTGGGCGGAGCAGTAGTTGACCCTAAACTCCTGGGAGGATTGCTCAACGAGCCTTCAGGGCTCAGTGTCAGGGGCCAACAACATGTCACTCAGAGAGACTTGTAGCAACCACGGAGAGTGAAAAAGATCAGACAGGCAACTAAAACAAGTAAGAGCAGAGACCAAGAGACCAAGAGAACTACAGATGCAAAACGCCAAATGACTACAAAGAGGCAAGTACAAGTACAAAGGGACTCCAAATGAAACCAAAAAGGAATCGCAACCATAACAAGACACAAAACAACTACAAATGACTGAAAAGAGACCCAATACAACCACAAAAGATTCAAAACGATCCAGAAGTGAAACAAAAATACCACAAAAACACTTGAAATGACTACAAAGAAACAGAAAAACACTGAATAGAAATGCAAAAGACGTGGAGAGGCGGATAATTCATTCACGGCTATCCTCCAGGGGGCGCTGTGTGAAACAGACTTTCTTAAACAGAGTTTTTGTAGGAGACGTTCTGCTGCATCTGCATAATTAAACATTCACTTACAGGGGTTTCCCTTTAAGCCTTCATTAGCGCCATGCTCAGAGAACTCTGGAAAAAGCTCTTAAATGAACCTAAAGTAAAGATTACTTCACCTGTTATGTGTGTGAGCTTTGATTGACAGGTGTCTCAGCGAATCACAGCCTGTTTCTGACACTTCCTTTCCTCGTCTTTACTCTGAATGTTTTCTGTGTTCTCTCCCAACCGCATGTACAGACATGTGCAGGAACACACTTATTTTAACTAGAGGATTACATCACACACACACACACACACACACACACACACACACACACACACACACACACACACACACACACACACACACACACACACACACACACACACACACACACACACACACACACACCACACACAACACACACACACACACACACACACACACACACACACACACACACACACACACACAACACACACACACACACACCCACACACACACACAACAACACACACACACAACACACAACACACACACACACACACACACACACACACACACACACACACCACACACACACACACACACACACACACACCACACACACACACACATACACACACACACACACACACACACACACACACACACACACACACACTTTGGATGTGTTCCCACTAACACACCCAGTCTGAGCAAACCTGAATCTCTTCTGCAGAGCTGCCTCCTTAATATTGCCACAACTTATCTTACTACAAAACACAACGTATGATTCTTCCGCGTTAAGGACCTTCCACAACTCGTCACAACTGGGACTTTCAGACTTTTACATTTGATGCGAATATAACTATTACAACAACCAAACCATGAGCTTGGTCCAAATTAAAATCCATATTGGTTCAGTTTGTTTTGGGTGGAAAAAAAATGTCCGGAGGTTTGAATATTTTTAAACCAATGACAGAAGGTTCTGGCAGTCTGTAGTCAGAAACAGAAAAAGGAAAAACAACACAGCACATGGAGAGAGGAGGAGACTAAATATATATATATTATATCATTTATCAAGTCCAACATGACATCTTTAAAGAGTCCTCTCCTATATCAGTATGTAGTGTCTCTACTTTAAAGAGTCCTCTCCTGCTGATGTTCAGGTGTATATCAGTATGTAGTGTCTCTACTTTAAAGAGTCCTCTCCTGCCTGATGTTCAGGTGTATATCAGTATGTAGTGTCTCTACTTTAAAGAGTTCTCTCCTGCTGATGTTCAGGTGTATATCAGTATGTAGTGTCTCTACTTTAAAGAGTCCTCTCCTGCTGATGTTCAGGTGTAGATCAGTATGTAGTGTCTCTACTTTAAAGAGTCCTCTCCTGCTGATGTTCAGGTGTATATCAGTATGTAGTGTCTCTACTTTAAAGAGTCCTCTCCTGCTGATGTTCAGGTGTATATCAGTATGTAGTGTCTCTACTTTAAAGAGTCCTCTCCTGCTGATGTTCAGGTGTATATCAGTATGTAGTGTCTCTACTTTAAAGAGTCCTCTCCTGCTGATGTTCAGGTGTATATCAGTATGTAGTGTCTCTACTTTAAAGAGTCCTCTCCTGCTGATGTTCAGGTGTATATCAGTATGTAGTGTCTCTACTTTAAAGAGTCTTCTCCTGCTGATGTTCAGGTGTATATCAGTATGTAGTGTCTCTACTTTAAAGAGTCCTCTCCTGCTGATGTTCAGGTGTATATCAGTATGTAGTGTCTCTACTTTAAAGAGTCCTCTCCTGCTGATGTTCAGGTGTATATCAGTATGTAGTGTCTCTACTTTAAAGAGTCCTCTCCTGCTGATGTTCAGGTGTATATCAGTATGTAGTGTCTCTACTTTAAAGAGTCCTCTCCTGCTGATGTTCAGGTGTATATCAGTATGTAGTGTCTCTACTTTAAAGAGTCCTCTCCTGCTGATGTTCAGGTGTATATCAGTATGTATTGTCTCTACTTTAAAGAGTCCTCTCCTGCTGATGTTCAGGTGTATATCAGTATGTAGTGTCTCTGCTTTAAAGAGTCCTCTCCTGCTGATGTTCAGGTGTATATCAGTATGTAGTGTCTCTACTTTAAAGAGTCCTCTCCTGCTGATGTTCAGGTGTATATCAGTATGTAGTGTCTCTACTTTAAAGAGTCCTCTCCTGCTGATGTTCAGGTGTATATCAGTATGTAGTGTCTCTACTTTAAAGAGTCCTCTCCTGCTGATGTTCAGGTGTATATCAGTATGTATTGTCTCTACTTTAAAGAGTCCTCTCCTGCTGATGTTCAGGTGTATATCAGTATGTAGTGTCTCTACTTTAAAGAGTCCTCTCCTGCTGATGTTCAGGTGTATATCAGTATGTAGTGTCTCTACTGGGACATGTCTTTATTGTTCTCATACTGCCTGTGCTGCAGCACCTCTTTTCACCCTCTGTCTGAAACCAAAGCGTACCAGAGTCTGCTCTGATTGGTTAGCTGGCTGGCTCTGTTGTGATTGGTCAACTGCTTAGAGATGTCCCGCCCCTTAGCCTATCATGTACAGTGTGTTGTGTTTTCACATTAGACATTTTAACATGTGAGATAAAGCAGATATCTCCTTTGACTTTATAATGATAGCTGTGTGTGACCTCTGACCTCTTTGTGTTTTATACAACAGTGTGCCTGGCTCTGATTAGCCTCTCTGACTTCAGGTTGTGTAATCCTAATTGTTTCCAGTTGCAGTGACGAGGGCTCGCCTGCAGCATCGTGCACGTTTTAAAACTCAATATCCTTCACATTTAAAAGTCGATACTCTTAAAACTTCGGAGGTAAAAACAGAAAAGTGACATTTACCTTTGATTTCTTTGCAAATCCTTTCTGGTTTCTCTTTATACAAGTTATTACCTTTAGGGTTTAATATATACTTACAAAAAAACACAGCCTTTCTTTCCTGGTTGTTAAATTCTTCTTACAAAAAGTGTTAAACGAGAGTCATCCTGCTGCCTGAGTGGGTTGGAATCTGGCTTTATTTGCATGTTTCATACTATGTTACACAAGATGATATAACAAAGTCTGTGAAACATGTCGGGCTGAATCCCGCTGCAGGTTTCTGCTGCAGTTTGGTGTTTTAAAGGGGAGTTTCGAGGGGCTTCATGGAGGATTGTGTAACAGCAATGAGTCACTTTTCATACCAAGACTCAGTTACATCATTAGTGACGTTATCCTACCAACTACAGACACACTCTGTGAGCTCCTCTCGCTGCTAGCTTTGGGTTCAAAGCTGTTCTTTTGCTTCAAATAGCAACACAATGATAACAGGTAAGATGGGAACAGAATGCAATGGGGGGGGGGGGGGGGGGACATGTTAAAGCCAAGGAGGAAACACAACAGAATGACAGTTAAAACAGACAGTGTGTTGAAAGATGGTCACCATTATTACAAGTGATCCCAGAACATTGATTACTTGATTGACTTTTTCCTTTTGAAGCAAGAAAATCAAGTTGTGTAAGTTTACCTTCAGACTGCGTGCTGATTGGCTGATGGGGATGGTGGGGGGTGTGGTCCTGTTTTGAGTGACAGCTCCTCCGATTCGTCAGTTTCACATTTCTCAGACGTTAAGCTGTTTCCTCCCAGACAGGAAACAGAAACAAACACCGTGTCTCTTCTGGCTCCTCCCCCTCAAGACTGGAACAAAGTTAAGATACACAGACATTAGTTTAACAAATAGGGCTGCAACTTACATCTGCTTTTTAAAAATTGAAAACAGTAAAAGCTGTCTCTCAAAGTTCATGAGCCTCATCTTTAAATGTCTTGTTTTTCAGTCCAAAGAAATGGTTTGTTATGACAACCAGAGAAAGGTAACATTTATACAATATCAAGGAGCTCTCCTGCAACATCATAACATTTCATTTAGCTGATGCTTTTTCCTAAAGCTACTTTCATTAAATGCAGTCAACCATGAAGATCCAAACTTAAACAGGAAGAACCCTGCAGGCACATTAGCTCTGAATAATCCAAACCGGTGCTACCAACAGTTTCTTGTCCAAGCTGGAAAGCTAACAGGCGTGTACTGTAGTAGTACATGTGGAAGAATGAGTCACACAATCAGCTGTATACTATAACAACATGTGACTACATTTTCTACCATCCCTGTGACAATATCAGTCTCGAGCTCTGACGGTACTGCAGAAAAATAAATACTGTGACGTATTCGGAACGACTTGGCACTATGTTTCCGTCCTCTTGGACCACGACAACAACAACAGCAGCACATGGTCCAGCTGCTTCTGTAGAGTGACACCCAGCAGCTGCTGTCAGATCCGCTTACAGGGAGACAGAGAGTGTGTGTGTGTGTGTGTGTGTGTGTGTGTGTGTGTGTGTGTGTGTGTGTGTCAGTCGGTGTGAACCAATCAGCTTCCAGAACGCTCTCCTCGTGTCTATATAAGGCCTCAGGTGGTCAATAGGCCAGTGCAGACACTGTGTTCAGACCATCACCTACTCATGACTGTGGGTGTGTTGCTACTGGTTACCAGATAAAAGAGTTCACACACACTTTCCAGCACATTTGTATCCTCCTCAGTATTTCTCACTACATGCTATGTAGTGAGAAAGCATAGCATGCAGTACAACCAGTAGCTTCTTAAGCTTAGGAATTTAAAAACTTCAATTTGAAATCATAGTACATTTATACAGTGTTTTTCCATTTTTTGCAAACCCTCAAAGCACTTCTACATAAACAAGTCATGATTCTCCCAACATGACGTTCATAGACACCAAGTTGCACCTGATCAGGAAGACTTCACACACACTCACACACCAATTTAGGGTTCAATATCTTGTCCACAATTTACAATAAGTCTAAATCAACCAAGAACCCAGAACAGCAAGAATCCTGAAGCACCATTGAACCATTTCATATTGAAGATACACATTTTAAATTAGGGTTTAAAAAAGGGGACATTTTGCTTTAAAGAGCCGACTTAAATGAATTGACGTCATTGAGTCATTATCCTTGAGATCAAACCAAGTATTTTTTGGAGAGGTTTAAAAGGGAATGTTTTATGTTGTTATTCAAGGACAGTTCAATACATTGTAAATGAGTCAGCTGTGCTATCTTGTAGCTCTTGGTGGTAAAAGCTTCTTAGGTTTATCTCCACATGACAAACGGCCAAGACAGATAACCCGTTATTTTGCAACCCTTTTCCCGACACACACACACACACACACCCTCACAGCGCTCTGGTGTTTTCCCAGCAAGCCTTGTGGTTGAGGCAGTGGAGGGTGTGGTCGTCTGGCTGAACAGGCCGAGACAAGTATTCCTCACTTACAGAAAGCTGTAAAAAACGGTCACATGACTCAGACAGCTGATCCAGTTAAAAACCAGAATCGTCCAAATCAGAGAGGTGGAGAAACACCAAATCTTACATTTCCCAAAAATGCACCTGGATAGAAGTTTTTTTAATCTGAGACTCCCCTAAACAGACACTTAGACTATGAAGGTTTCTCATTTCCCTAATTCCCCTCTTCGACTCCTATCCTCGACTCCTATCCTCGATACTTAGTCCCGCCCACAGGAGATGCGAGCGGAGGAGTCGAGGAGGGGAACTGAGGAGAGAGGAGGGGAAGCAGCAGGCGTGAAAAGAGAAATGAGAACTCCTCTTGGCTTTCAGAATATGAAACTTTTATTTCCAATTTATTTATTTCTCACTCGCAATCTGCTCTTCCGCAGTGCCGCCCCCCCCCTCACTCCGCTGAAATTATGAATGTAAGCGTATAGTAATCATAGATAACACGGCAGGGTCCGTTACAGTTTGTTTTCATCTGATTTCAAATAAACAAAGTCTTGGCTTTCAGAATATTAAACTTGTTTTGGCAAATTCAGATGATAAATACAACTTTGAAGCTTCAGCATAATTACAAGCGGAGAACGGCAGGCATAACAACAGCCGGTGTTTCTCGTGAGTGTTTTCCCCGGGAAACAAACACAATACACACAAACGCAAAATTACACAAGCACACACACGTATACACACACACTCGCGAGCTTCCCCTCCAAACGAAAATATCTTCCCTCGGTAGTATTTTGATCATTTGCTCCGCTAATAATCAATCAGATCGATGGATTCCAGAGAAGAGACAACTTTGAAGGCCTTTTTCTCAAAATGATGACTCGGTGACAGTCATTATATAATGTGACATATTTCGATTAATATTTGATGTACAAAAACAATCCTGATATCATTAGAAAGCTAGGAATATCATCTTTCCAACAGTGTACAACTCAAAAGGTGTCTTCGGGTCAATGCGACTGATTTCGATGGAGCAGGTCACAACATTTTGACAGGGGCTAGTCTAGGATTCGCGTGGCCAGACTGAAAAAAAAAAATAAATAAATAAAATAAAAAAAATAAAATAAAAAAATCATAATGCGTCTCTGTTATTGTTCAGGGGGCCGGGCCAAATGTGGAGGCGGGCCGTACCCGGCCCGCGGGCCTTAGTTTGGGGACCACTGGGTTTGAGTGTATTATGTTCATCCTGCAGATGGAAAACATCTATACACACACGTTATGGGAACCTCTCCCTTTCTCGCGCTGTATGATACAATGTATCATACCTTCTCACAGGTGCGAGCTCTGTGCCCCTCGAGAAACACAAACCTCTCGCTTTCTCACGCTAAATGCGCCTCCCTTACTGGCTCTCAAGCAGTTTGTGCCTTGCTCACATTTGACTCATTGACACAAAGAGCAGGCGACCGATTAGGCGATTTTCTATGAGGGGCCGTACAGGCCATAATTCATACTGGTCCTCTCACGCACATACATTCTACTTTTACATACATATATTTTCACTCTTACATACATACATTCTCCTTTTACATACATATATTTTATAATATGCATGTCTGAAGAGAATATATGTATGCAAGAGAAGAATGTATGTATGTGTGAAGACAATATATGTATGTGAGAGAAGAATGTATGTATGTGAGAGATAAAGTATAGTGGAAACGGAAGGAGTATGGTTGAAACGGAAGGCAGGTCATTCTTGCGCTGTGATTGGCTCAGAAGGTCGAGCGGGGCGGGCTCATGTTCAGAACTTCTGATTTCAAATCAACATAACATGATGGAGGGAGATGAATCGCGTAGATTGCAGCAAGCATTAGGGGTTTTAAGGAACATTTAGTCAACCCCTGAAACTGTCACATCCCTGGCCAGGTGTCCTTGCGGGTGCGTTCGCTTTACTTATCAGAGCGTGCCGTAAGGGCGGTTACTCTTTGGTTTATAAACTCCCGCCTGGGACGGACTGATGCGTTAGATTATGTGCTATATGGAGGGGACTTTGACAGAGTATTTCTCACAAAGTACACAGTAAAAGTACTTCAATGTATTGTTAGTAGCAGTCAAACTAGTACCGAGTCCAACAGTGTCAGTTTTATGAAGAACTTGTGGTAAAATATATTTGTAAAAAGAAAATGAAGAGCTACTGATTTGAAAAAACGGCTCTCTGTATAGTTTAAATCTCCTAACAATGTTGTCCATGTATTCTTCTCCCCTCGAGTCCAACAGTGTCAGTTTTATTAAGAACTTTCAGTAAAAAATATTTGTAAAATATGAAGAGCAGCTGATTTGAAAAGACAAACGTGAGAGACGGCTGAGTGACCGCAGAATCGCTGTATAGTTTAAATCTCCTAACAATGTTGTCCATTTTAGACACATGCTTATTATATTTACAGCCTTAATAACATTCATTTTCTGGGCTCAATGTGTGTCTTGGCCGTTTTCGTTGTGATCGCTAAATTCACCTTGTTTCCCCTTGTTTATAATTATGTTCAACGTTCCAAGCAAACGAGTGCTTTTGTTTTGAAATCACTTCCGCGAGTATCGCGCCCCCCCCCCGCTCGACCTTCTGAGCCAATCACAGCGCAAGAATGACCTGCCTTCCGTTTCAAACCATACTCCTTCCGTTTCCACTATACTTTCTCTCACACATACATACATTCTTCTCTCACATACATATATTGTCTTCACACATACATACATTCTTCACTTGCATACATATATTGTCTTCACACATACATACATTCTTCTCTTGCATACATATATTCTCTTCAGACATGCATATATTATAAAATATATGTATGTAAAAGGAGAATGTATGTATGTAACAGTGAAAATATATGTATGTAAAAGGAGAATATATGTATGTAAGAGTGAAAATGTATGTATGTAAAAGAAGAATGTATGTATGTAAGAGTGAAAATGTATGTATGTAAAAGGAGAATGTATGTATGTAAGAGTGAAAATATATGTATGTAAAAGGAGAATGTATGTGCGTGAAAGGACCAGTATGAATTACGGCCTGTACGGCCCCTCATAATTTTCTGTACGAGAGGCTCTGGACACATTTTTTGAACCAGATGAAGAGGAGATTGAACCAGATGAAGAGGAGATAGAGGAAGATGTCTCAGAAATGGAAGACAACAGTGATCCAGACTATGAGCCTACAATAGACCAGGAAGAGGCCCCTGAGGGAGAGGCCCTTGAGGGAGAGGAGGGAGAGGCCCCTGAGATAGAGGAGCCTGAGGGAGAGGCCCCTGAGGGAGAGGAGGGAGAGGCCCCTGAGGGAGAGGCCCTGAGGGAGACGGAGGGAGAGGGCCCCTGAGATAGAGGAGCCGAGGAGAGGCCCTGAGGGAGAGGAGGGAGAGGCCCCTGAGGGAGAGGCCCCTGAGGGAGAGGAGGGAGAGGCCCCTGAGATAGAGGAGCCTGAGGGAGAGGCCCCTGAGGGAGAGGAGGGAGAGGCCCCTGAGATAGAGGAGCCTGAGGGAGAGGCCCCTGAGGGAGAGGAGGGAGAGGCCCCTGAGGGAGAGGCCCCTGAGGGAGAGGAGGGAGAGGCCCCTGAGATAGAGGAGCCTGAGGTGACATTCCACAATTTTGCATTGCCAACTATGTGCGTGAACACACGTGAACACACATGTTCTGTTATGGTATATTTCTCTTTCAATAAATGTTCATTGAGGAAAACAGTATCAGTGTCTTATGTTATATTCATCACAGTGAATGCTGAACTTGATGGGCCCACCGGTGGGTCCGGACCATGACATGAAACACTGGCTTACTTGTATCAAATCAATACATCCCATACATCATTGGAACGGGAAGAATCTCAGCTACAACACACTAACT